TGTCTTACTTCCATGGTTGTGAACAACAATCTTTTATTATTTCCACTCAGCCCATTCATAAACCATTTACAGCGTCCAGAGGACGAATAAACAATCTAAAATCTCTAAGCCTCTTTAATCACGACATTTTTGCGCCCAGTTTGAAATTCAGACAGAAAATCTTCAACCTCACAACAAACGAGCGGTTTTGTTTATCAAATCTAAGGTTTGTGCTGGGGAATTCCGCTGCTATGAGACAAATGCCTGCCAGCTGAAAGTGAACACATGTGTGAATTACAGGAAACTTGTCATGGGTTCGATGCTCCGATTGTATCAATCACACGCTATCCATTTTAGCTTGTCTAGTTCACAGGGGACTTACCGGAGACACCCGTAACCCGTTGTTCAGTGTGGAGTAAATTGCATGTTCCGGAAATTGTTTTGTCCAGCTGAAGGGCTCTGTCGGATTGGTGGAACGCAACAGACGGGCCAACCTTCCGTTCCGCCAATAGCCAATATCCGCTACTCTGCCCGGTCCGTCGGGCAGTGGTGGTGACATGCGAATACCCGGTCCTTCTGGCTGATCATTCGCGATGAATCCCTAAGGCAACAGATAATTTGTTCCAGATTTGGTTTAGTCGTCGGTGCGCGGGTTAGCCATGTACTTAAATCGATCGTAAGTCTCATACTGACGTGATATGTTGGTGAAATAAACAAGGAAGTATCATCGTCACTTGCCGTTGCCTCACAAAGGAAAGTCATTGTCTGCTTAGCCATTCTAAGAACAGCTGACTTGCTACCTGTGTGAGTTAACATTGAAACTGAGCAAAAGGACTACGTGGAACCACAAAATGCCCTTGATCAATAACTTTGGAAGTCTGAACTACTCTGAAGAGCCAAATAGAATCTGGTTGAAAGGTACTGAAGAGTTTGGTTGAAATACTGCAACAGCGTTCGAGTTACCAGACACCTGAGCACGACTGGCAGGTCACAATCGATTTACACAGGAGCTGATTTGGTTCAGGCCCTTGAGGCTTATTTGGACCCTGGGGATTCAGATCGGTGAGAAAGCATGCAGAAATACGTTTTCGCTCTCAGTGGACCCAAAGACAATCACATAAGAATGAACCCCAATACCAAATACTTGTTTAGCATCACAATGAAGATAACATTCATCTATTCACCTGGAACTATTTTTATACATTATGATACCGCTCCCACGGTCATTATCTGATTCATTAAGGTTGTTATAGGTAACCAGAAATTTTATACCAAAACACATACATCGGCCTGTCTCTCCCTCTCTGTCTGCCTATCTATCCATCTGTCTGTCTGTTCGTCTGCATGCCTGCCTGCCTGCATGCCTGTCTCAATGACTGTCAATCTGCGTGTCTGTGTGTCTGTATGTCTCCCTGCCTGCCTGCATGCATGCCTGCCTGCCTCCCTGCCTGCCTGTTTATCTATCTATCTATCTATCTATCTTTCTATCTATCTATCTATCTATCTATGTATCTAACTATCCATCCATCTAAATGTATATCTATTTATCTATCTATCCAACTATATATCTAACAACATATCTATCATTCTATCTATCTATCTATCTATCTCTCTATCTATCTATCTATCTATCTATCTGCTTGCCTGTTTGTCCCTCCATCTAACTGCCTGCTTACCTGTCTGTGTATCTATCCATCAGTGACATGTAGGGCTTTGGACTTTCGGGGCCGAGTGGAAGTTGAGTTCACTACACCAAACTTACGGGTTGGCTCCACTGGACACAAATGGTTCTAAGATTTTTACTCTGTAGACAGACTCAACCAAACAAAATTCTTGTGTTTCTTGCTCAGGTCAAGGAATACATTGCAATCTCATAAAGAATTTACGGTTCACTTTTGAATCGTGGTATTTAATACAAAAATACAGCTTTCGTCCACTGATGGAGTGGAGAGCGGTCAACCAGCCGCTCACTTCGTAGCAAGATCCATCCGCGTAACGCATCAGACCATATCCGTACATTTCATCTAGAAAGAATGTTCCAAAATACGCTGAACCATCTGGCCACGTGTTCAGTCCATATCCATGCCTACGGTCCTCATAAAATGTACCCTCGAAGACCTGCAGATTAAAAAAATTCCAAGAAAAGATACGAAAATCAGTGAGATCATTCCTTGGAAAAGCCATACTGTTGAAGTTAGCGAACTATACTAATTTTATTCTAGCGAGAGACTTAACTGAAACCCTAGTGAATCACTCATTTGGTATGAAAATGCGCGTATTTTGCGAACTCCGTTCAATTTGTGTCCGATTAGGTTGATGAAATCTCGGAAACGGCGCTTCGCCTGCCCGATGAGCTCTAAGAAGTGTAAAACCGGTCCTGGTTTGTTGAACATATTTCGGCAACCCTATGAGTAGTGCTCCTTCAGGTAAACATCTTGGTATATTACAGCGTCTTGATGATCAGTCCGTGGAGTTCCATGACCACGCTGGTTGGACTGGAAGCTCTTCACCATGATTATGGGCATTCATGCTACGCTGCTTAGCGTCTTCAATTACAGAGAATCCGCCCAAGCATGGTAGGAAAAAGCAGGCTGTAATAACTCAACCAAGGATCCATCCATACAGCTTAACACAGCCCAGTGTAAAACATCAAAAGTCAGTCTTCCGACCAAAATCCACAAGACGACTGTCCCTAGAGGGACTCGCCAGTCAGAAATGACGACCTCTGCGTGCTTCATACACTTGATGTTTTGTACGTGTGGATGTAATAAAAGTACGTGAAAATGATAAAAAGTAAAAACACTGCTCCAGAAAAATTTATCAAGCTAGTCAGTAGAGCTAACTACACTGATTCGGATACGTTTGAAGCAAATATTACTCCCCGAAAGTATAGCTTGTGTAAGTGTGTTTTGAGGTCCAAGTTGAGATGTCTTCAGTCAGATGAAAAGCTTTGAAGCATTCTACGGGCTTTTTTCTCTGTTGAGGCTCGTTATCAGTGTTTCAGGTCGCTCCCTTGTGGCTGAATAATATAGTACTTGTCCGCCAGCCGAAGGACTAAGGGCTCAAACTCTCCCGGAGATTTGCGGGACGAAATTTCACGAAACAACTTTCTCAAATTTTCATTTTTGACGTACTAAAAACCTGAGGTGGTTACGTCATGCGTTGTGCCGAGAATAATGCTATTTTTCTTACCCCTGAAGAAAACTAGTCATCCTTTAGGATTATGAAATAGATCAGGAAAAATATTCTGGCTCCCGGTTCGACTTCCAAGGTGGGGTTCGCGTGATCACACTGGTTGAAGATGTTGCAAGATATGGTTGCTGAGTAATGTCAATAGCATTCACTCATTCCACCTGAAGGTGTAGGCACCTCAGAACGATTGTGGAATCTTAATCTAAGTGCCTTCCTTATCCACTTTTATTCTTTTATTCACCACAAAGCAGCGGCGGCGATGCATCAGTGTTGAAGAGTGATATTATGCTGACGATGTTGAAGCTAAAAACTTCCTAGAAGGATACCACACGTAGTTCTACAAAGGTTTGATCTGTCGCACGATGGGTTCTCTGGAAAGGAACGGCTGTAGCTGAAAATAGCATTTGGGCGAAATCATTTCGCCCATTCAAAGTTATGTTCGGATGTGCGGATTTCATTCCGTAAGCGACTTAAGTTATACGTTCACCTAACAATGATCCAGAATACAGCCCTGTCTCTAGCTGATAACCTTTGTTCAAACAATGGCTATGAATCCTTGCAAATATTAAAAGTGTATAAGACACTTTTGTAATGCACTACTCATAAGGTTGCTGAAAACTCCTCGACAGCCCACGATCGGTTTCGCTCTTCCAGGTCGGGCTAATCAGGGAGGTGCAGTCCCCGAGTTTCCGTCAACCTTATGTTCTACTTGAAACCAAATTGAACGAAATCAGCGAATATACACTCATTTGCAAAATAATCTGGAAACATCAAAACCGAGAGATTCAGCTGTATAAGACACTGTTTGCGTCCCGTCTTACTTCTAGCAGTGAGACAGTATTTCCATGAGAAAATTTGGTGCAATTTTATCCACTCTTACACTTGACGCTTCCTGAACAAACCTTACGGTCGGCCATCGATAGGATACACCAATTGAGAGCGAAAGAATTTGGACCCTTACTCCACATGGGCGTTACTCACCCGAAACTGACAATATGTTAACCCGATTGTCTAGTGTTCCAAGTACCGGTAGACAGATGTACATTTGTAGATTGGAGCTAATAAAAGCACCAATCTGGAATTTCGGTGCCATCTTGATATGTCAGAAAGACATACACTACCAATATCCGTAAAAACACTGTAAATTTACTAACGGATTATAACCTATTCGTAAGCCTACAATAAAAGTGCACCGATTGAGACACTGTAAAACTACTCTCTGAGCCAAGTTTAGGTAACTAGAGAAACATCTTGTTCACTCAAGGCTTGACTTGCCTTTATCGTGGTGTTAAAGTTCGTGACTGTGTACATGCTGAGTTAAAGTGCAAAGACAAAAACTGACTTCCGGAGTACTCACTTCTCCAGAACTAAACTTGTACGATCCAAAGCCGTTTCGCTTATCCTCCTCAAAGTTCCCAATATAAGAATCACCTTGGGGCCACTTTTGAAGGCCCCCACCGTACTTCATGGCTTGTTTTGAGTATCCTTGGAACAGAGTGTATCCATTGCGGCAAAGGACCCCGTAACCAGTGCGTGCTCCATTCTCCACTTTCCCTCGGTACAAAAATCCGTCGGTGTAGGCCACAGTATCCGCACGAAACTCTGCCTCGTTTTTCTTGGCTTGCTGAAGTAGTTGTCGGGAAATACAAACCGCCATTGTGTCAGCAGCAGGTCAACAGAGAAGAGCTCTGACTGAAGCAATTGGCTCTGGTCATCGAGTTTGGAGCTGCAGTAGAGAAAATTCTGTACAGACACAAAACACTGGTTCCCAAATCTCGACTTGAATTCCCAAGTAACAAAAATCACAAGAAAGGTGCGAAATCGTTGCATAAACGACGCGCCGCTCAAGCTTGTTTTTTCTAACTTGGACAGCTGGCAAGTTGTTGCGGAAATCAGAAAAGCCGGTGAGACAACTCCCGGAATGTGTGTTTAGTTCTGTTTACACTGTCCATATCCTAATGGATATGGGAGTATTTGAATGCCTCAACTGTTTCGCGTCTTAGAAGGTAGGTAGTTCTCAGCACAGTTATCTATTCGTAATACGTGTGACCATGATCTAACCTTGGTTGATAAAATCCCCACTAGCGTGTTCGCCGTCCTGGCGGTTTTCCCGATCCAAGAATTTGCTTCGGCTTTAAGTGTGAACAAGAATAGCGGAAACTTCCCAATATACAGCATGTAAAATCAAAGTACTTGCTGTCGGTTTCTATCCAGATCGTCTGAGGGAATGTCTGGAGGTATAGGCACCTCGGAGTGATTGTGTTGAGCCAGCACAAAGTCCCTTCCCGTCTACCTTTCCTCTTTTCTTTGCAATAAGGCTTTAAACTGAATCAAGGCTGTACAGCAGTGAAGCGTCGGTGTTGAACACTGATGTCATGCTGTCGATGATGATGATGATGACAAGCCAAGCCACCAGTTACGGACAGACTCTACCATGAACACGGTATCTTAGATATGACAGTCATGTTTAGGGTCACCTACTGGCAACTATATGGGTGAGACGGACATCACTAAAATCACCGAAATCGCCCCTTGTGAGAAGAACTCGTTAGCCATTCTGAGTACCGACCTTCTACCATGACAATTTTCCGCTCCAAAAGTCAAAACATTATATCTTATCATTGTTCATGAAGGTTACCGAGCCAAACAGCTCAGCTCCTTAGGCAGTGCCGGTAAAAATCACTAAAGTGTAACGAGAACTCTACACACCCTGGCGTCAACCCACATTGCTTTTGCTAGCACGATGAACGACAATAAATTTGCTTACCTGATTGAACTAAAGTCATTCGAGGCCTCTGGTTGACCAAACTACAGTATGTTTTACCTGTAATTCAGGCAGCTGTAAGCTTGGCTTGATTCTTAGTCATCGTGCGATTCCTGAGACAAGCTGAATTAGATTCTGTGTGTACAAGGTCCGAAATTCAGAGTCAAAACTAGTTATCTGGGACGGCTGCTTAGTCTTTTGGATTTTTTTTTCGTATTGAAATTTTAAACCATGTTTATCGCACTCCATCTCAGAGGGTTTGTTGGTAACGCACCTTCGTGTCAGATGGGTGGGAGGGATCAAGATTCACCACTCTCCTCGTACCCTGGGCGCTGGGTCTGCTACTGGATTACTACCTCACGTCTCGGTTAGGGAAAACAGTATTACCCAACTGAAAGCTTCACACTGAGGACTCGGCACTAACCGCCATTGTGAGTCCTGTGTGAAAGAGCCTTGTGAAAAGTGTGCACACACGTGGGATTCAGTCGGCTTTAAGAACATCCGATGCGGAATCGCGCCTCGAAATGGTTTCTAGACTGGCAAGTTAAAATATCATATATGAGTCAGGATATCTAATTACGTAGAATATCTTCGACACCGACAAAAAATTTCGTCATCGAACGGTGACATGCCGGCAAGGTTTGTGCCGTCTACCCAGGAATAATGCAGTTAGCTGACGGTTAGGTTCGTTCAATTGCTTGCTCAGATGCCCCGTCAGCAGTGCAGTGGAAAGCTACTGGTCCAGTGCACTTTCTATTATATTTAACCACTTTGGCCAAGATGTTGTGCACCAACAATAATGGCCATCACTGAAAGCCGCATTGCAAGGCCCAAGAAATAAACACGATTTCGGCGTGATCTTTCGTTTAGCGGCCTTCTGTTTCAAGTACTCGAGGTCTCACATCATGGTATAGTTCTATGGCAGTAGTAACGATGAGACTTCATTCCAATTCCACCGAAAACTCCAGAACTGTCATATACCAGTTTCTCAATATCACCAAAAACTGTTGTGCTTGGCTTTCCGCTAAGAAGGCCACGTTGAACTGATGATAGGATGCCATCGGCGTCAAAGTGTCTCGTGAGTTGCCCGGTTTTACATATTTGAAAGATGAGCCGGTAGTTTACATTGCTCTGGGTTGAAAAGATATCCCTTTCGAGCATCTGTGTGAGTATTTTTCGTTTCCCCAACAACTGGGGTGGTTCTTTGATTAAAAAGCATTTAAAATAGTCTGATCAGTGTTCCTCAAAGTTTTGTCGATAATTTTGCCAGCACTTTCAAACGAATACTGTCTATTGACCGCTGGTGGTTCTTATGGCTTCATTTTCAGCCCCACTTATTCTGGCCCAAAAAACACAACAATTGACCGCGTCCTCTTCTGATATCAGCAGAAAATTTATGTCTGCTCCAGTCCAGTGAAAATCAGCAGCATAGTAGCTCGTGAAATTCGGGACTTCGGCAATACCAGTGATCGTTGTTTGCAGCTTCACGCCATGTTTTATTTGCGTTGAGCGTTGGCATGTTTGTGCAGAAGTACGGAACGCTCCGCAAAGACATTCGTCAATCCTCGCTAAAGGCACATCGTTTGATTCGGATGGAATCAAAGCAGTTACATAGTAACTTTAAGACAATTCAGTCAGAGTGACCTAATACAGGCTCCCTTGGTATAACCACGATCACTACCCTTCTTTGAAGAAACATTTTGAGTTTTCTGACAGATTAAATGTAGGTTAGGCTATTGGCACATTTAGCTGAAAAGCACATCGTGTCCAGAACTAACCTAACCCATAATCCTACAACAAAACCTACTGGTTTATTCACACCAGAATTTGGGCTTGTCTAAAGTCTTAGTTGTATCGGCAAGCGAGCATAAAATGGCTCTATATTGGGCCTTCTGTTATGATTCCAATGAGCCCCACTGATTGCTGCAGGTACAGAAAAACAAAACATAGAAATAGAAAGCCGGTGTAACTCCTTGAAACGCATCCGAAAATGGTTTTTGACAAAACCGATAACCCTGACTATGTGACAGTTTGCTTTTGGGGTCGTTTATGCGTTTTCTGCTACAAGTGTTCTCCAACGGCGCTTTGAAATGTACCAGGAATTCAGATATAACAATCTGGCTCAGGCCTTAGTTCCATTCTTCCTTACCAGTCGGAATAATCTGTACACATATGGACGTCCGTCACCTTGTTCGACCTCTGACCAGCAGCAGTGACATGTACCCATTTAGTCTATCACTTTCAACAAGATCCGTATTGATAAGTATATTTGCAAATGACGCTTTACTATTGAGCAAGTACCAAGGGTTGGTTCGTTTCAACTTCTACAGCTTTTTTTACCGGAAAATTGGATAGTATGGGCAACATAGCCAGATATTGAAGAGAAGAGAAAAATTAGTTTGTTTGTTATATTTTTGGCATCCACATAATAAAGGCGGTCGTTCTGATGCGCGAGCGCTCCTGACCGTGATATCAAACCGTGTCTTCTGGTGTCATTAACCACTGATGAGCTGAGTCCAGATGCTGCCATCCATCGAGCCAGCAGTTGTCAACCTGACTGAGTTTGCTGATCAGTGCTTCCGTACTTCACGTAAAGAGTCGCCGCAGGATTGGTTGTGATCAAACACAAACCCATGCTTGTTCGCCAACCGAATGATGTGGTACCTAGACAGCTGTGTAGGTTCTGGTGAATGGGTAAACGGCTTGTCGGCTTCACAGCTCGATGCGGCCATAGCATCGTTCTCTTACTCCAAACACTTTTAGCGGAAACATCATCCCTACTGTCAAGGGTGAATTGCGCAATTATGTGGTCAAACCTTTCCCAGTCCATGGATCAGTAGCGTGGCCGCTGTTTGAAAAAATACCTTCAAAGGAACTCACTGAGGCATCCTAAATGTTTTGTTGGTCTGGTAGAAAGATCATATCAGTAGCGCTAAGCAGATAGCTTTCCGGGAATTCAACTCTCCATCAGTAAATCAACTGGTACCAACCCATGGGTTACGCTGGTTAAGCCAAGTACTTTGTAGACAAGACGTCCGTTTGACTCGTAAATTCCTCTTCATCAAGACGTTTTATCGGATGGAGTCTACCAGCGCATGACTCAACAACAAAACATAAAATCGCTCAATGGTAAAATCAGTTATGTTGGTAGATACCGTCTCCTGCTTGACGACCAAAGACGAGGCGAACAAATAGTTAGTGAGCCTGACACGTATGGTTGTACCATGCAAATAGCAGCATTCTCGCTTAACAGCTATCAACCATTCGGCATCAATGAAGCGACTAAGCCATCACCTCCAGTTTATGGCTACCACTCCTTTGTTCTCCTCACAACTGATAAACAAAGCTGTAGAAGCTGAAACCACTGCACTATTTTAGCCCAAAAGACTGACGGACTGATTCACTTCTACAGTAGTGACCGTCAATCTCTCCGTAGACCAAAGTCAGCACAGGGATAAGCAAAGTCAAGTATCCTTCCAGAGTGAAACTACAAGTCCTAACCAGCATAAGCTTACAAGGAGTTAGCGTAAGAAAGCTTTTTTTCCTATACCCATCTGGTCTACCTCAGTATTAGTGAGTTAAGGCCCCCACCAGACCTGTTAATGCCCTGGGGACACTAACAAAGAGTGGCAGCCTCTGTGTACACCTTGTACATATAGATCACGTTACTCATCAATAGAGCAGTAGGAATTACACCAACACAGTGGCAGACAAACTCACATCACGCCAGCGCCATAGGTGTAGGTTTTCAAGAGTTGATCTGGCCTTTCCAACATAAGAATTAACCTGGTATTTAACCAGTTGACCAACGCAGTTTTCTTCCTGAAAAAGTAATACCCTACATTCCAGAATCTGGTCATCACTATCATCACTATCGCTATCTGAAAAAGTAA